GTTAAGTTACTTATAAAATATATCACATTATAGAGGGTGTGATGGTTAGTTTTATGTGTCAATTTGACTGGATTAAGAAGTAACTAGAGAACTCGTAAAGGTATGTTTTTGAGGGTGTTTCCAGAGGAGACTGGTGTGTAAGTCTGACTAGACTAAGTGGGGAAGGTCTGCCCTCAATGTGGGCAGGCACCATTTAATTAGCTGGGGGCCTCGAGAGAATGAAGAAAGCAGAGAAAGGCAATTTCTGTTCTTTTTCTCTCCTGGAGCTGGGATATTCCTCTTCTCCTGCCCTTGGACATCAGAGCTCTGATTCTCCAACCATTGAACTTCAGAACTTACATCAATAGTTCCCAGTGTATATGGTATATATACATGTATATACATGTATCATATACCTATCCTAGCCCTGTAGAAGATTTTCTTTGGTACTTTACTTCACATCCCTCTATAAAATGTTGATAAACATGCAAATAAATGCCCACAGTGCTACAGACTAATCACTTTTCAAGGTCATTTTTAAACATTATTTTATTTTATTTGATAAAGTTGGCAGTAAATGCCATGGGGGAAAAAAACTGATATTAAAAACTCTGCTATCCTCAGGTTTTGGTTTTGCTACACTCCAATCACACCCACCTGGCTTCATGTTAATAGGCAAATATACTTTCTTTCCTTGTCCTCTCACGTGAATTTAAGATGTGATGTTACTATATGAAGGGATTTTTAAATGGCTTTCAATGACCCTAAAAGAAAACTTGGCAAATGGGAGACATGAAACTGATCCAAGCATATGGGATAGAGTAGAAAAAAATATAGAATACTTAATGATATAATTTGGGCAGATAAGTTTACAGTAGATTCACTTAAGTAGGGAAATTAATAAAATATAGAGGCAGATGGATCTCCCAAGATCTCAAGAACAACAATAACTGAACTCATTTTAATAAGAGTCAATCAAAGAAGGGAGGTGATGTTTTTCAAACCATTAACAAAATTAATTCTGAAACATAATTAAAATGCATTGACAAATTATTTTACACTTCCACCAATTGCCCGTAATGGCATGAACAATTGGTAAATGCAGTGAAAATGAAGAAAAGAGCTCTTTAGTTTGGGATAATCACAAAACATGCTACCAAGAAGGAATTTAAGTCAAAAATAGATTTTGTCCTGGGTTGGCTACTGCAGCTTTAGGCATGGCTAGAAATAGTTAGTTACCTGAGCATTTATTTTGTGCAAACTGAAAGAACAGTTTTTACACAACTGAGAGCTCCTTTGCTTCACTGAAGTTAACAGAATGGGCCACAACAGGGAAGTGCAATCTCTTATTCAATTCATATGCTACAGTTACACAGAAAGCCAACTTTAGGACTATCACTTTAGTTGAGGGTTTAGTGACTGAAGAAAGGTATAAAACCAAAACTGGCAACCAATAACATGACAAAATAAAATGTGTCTTGAATAATGCCACTCATTTATAATGACTGGCTTCAAGTTGCCTGGCTACAGAGGCTAACTAGATAACTTCACAGAGAAAAAAATATTTTTAAAAAAACTCATTTCATGGTAATTCACTAAGATGCTCTACATATTATCCAGAATACTATTCCTCCAGGAATATAATTTCTAAATTTCTAGAATTTCTAAGCAAAAATCCTAGAAAATTTAATTCCCCTTAAGGCTGACTTAACTTTTACCTTTCCCTTTGATTATGGTACAGGGATCACTCAGAAAAATTCAATGTATACCTTCAAAAAGGGAAAAAGAGGGAGGAGGAGGGGAGACAAATAACTGAATCTGAATCTGTAAAAGTTATAAAAAAAAAAAACATCAACACTATCCCTTAAAAAGTAGTCTTCAAGTGAATTCACTCATTATGTATGTAACATTTTCAGAAAATTTATAGAGCATTCCTATATTAAGAATCATGACAACATGAAGAGGTGTGTGACATCTGATCCCTGTTCTTTCTTAAAGGCTCTCACCAGTTCTCCCTTTCATTAGTCACTCTTTTAATGACATGCACAGGGACAACACTCTCATACTCAGGGATCTTCAGGACAAGCATACATATCCATGCCATCAAGTGCAGCACATGGCTCATAGCCATTTAAAATAATTCCAGTAGTTCCATCACCTTCCAGTAACCTTAGAGTTTATTTCAAAAACTCCCTAAGTTAGGTGAATCTAATATTATTTTTAAAACCAGGTAAATCATTCACATGAGAACATTAAAACAAATCTAAAACCATGTAGAAACACATAAAAACAATCTACTTTTCTAAAAAATATGATGTAAAAAGAAATATTTCAATAAGATAAAGTTTGGGATTTTTTTATTACTTTCTATTAACTAGGTTATCACCAAGGACTATAGAATTGTCTCCTTTTTGTAAGTGATTAGAAGACTTTTAAAGCTGGAATATCACTTGCCCTTATCTGTTTAAAAGGAATTATTAGTTAAAATGTAGAATTGAACACATGCTTCTGACCTTAGCAGCTGAGAGTCATGTCAGCTGAGGGTGGGACACCTAACAGTGAGGAGTTGCTTGTGAGGTGGAGGACATGCTTTTAACCATCTGACATTGCAAACACATTATTAATTTTTTTACTATATTGAAATCTTGGTTGGCTCATCTTAAAAATAAAGAATATGCCTCAAGCTGACCAGGAAACAATCACACACTTCTCCTTATATATATGAAATTCCGTAAATACCTAGGTTAGGGGGGAAGAAGGGTTTGAAAAACTCATGTTTTCTTAGATTTTAGTGACCCAGTTTCCTCATCATATTCCCATATAAATACTTTCATTGCAAATATTTCACACATTATGCCAGACTTACACAAAATAAGTAGATCATCACCAAGTAGAAATCCTAGAGTAGGTGTTCTAAATGTGTTGGTAAAGAAAGTCACTTCGTTTGAGGTCCCTGCCCCTTCAACCTCACCCTCCTTACCAATATACATTCATCACCGAAAAGGGAAATATTTACAAAACTTAGTTTAGTTATGTTTAAATATTATGTTTAGCTGTCTGGAGACCATGTTCTCAAGATTTATACAAGAAATCAAGGATTAAACTTCATAACAATTAGAAAACCACACTGTGTAAAATCAAAGACTTAGTTAAAGGACATTAAAATAGTTTTACCATTGGTGCTACACTGAAATGACTCCATGTCTTCCCAACACCTGGAACCAAAACCTTTTGAACTTTCATGTAAACAAACCAGGGCATACCAAATGCTCTGTCTGCTGCAAGGTACCACTCTGCACAGGCATTTGGGTGAAAAATGTGGAAAACGCCTGAGGACTCTTTGAAGCAGCTTGGGAGAAGTAAGAGCAGGAAAGAGGCTCTTCTCTAGGGTAAGTTTGTTTAGTAGAAAGTAAGCAAGTTGTCAGGGTAAAAGTTGACAATGTTGATTCCAACAGTTTGAATTGTGAATAAACATCCAAAGGGATTATGTTACTGAGAATTAGAAAAGATTCCATTGAACTCAATAGAACACTTGTGTTTTCAAAGATAATATGCCTTCAAGCCATACTCTGGATCCACAGTTTAGGGTTAGAATTACCCTAAGCTCTTTATATGCCACATTAAAGAACACAGGGTATGACCCCTCTAATACATGTCAAAAAATATTAAAATAAAATAAAATGTGTCATTTCCAATCCCTGAATTGGAGAATAGTAAACATATATACATGTATACATTTGAGGTAGAGTAAAGAATCTTGGAGAAAAATCTGTTCTTCCCAAACATCTAAACTTAAACTCAGTTTCACTAACCAATTTAGGGAAATATATGCATTGGCCATAAATCACTTTTAAGTTTGCCCTCCTTAATGATCTATCAACGAGCAAAAAACAGGGCCTATACTTATGAAATCCATAATCCTCTTCTCTGCTCACCAAAGCCACATTTAAATCTGGCTTTCATCTCATGCTGTTGGGTTTTCCACCAGGTACAAGATGAAAAGTTGGAAGAGTCTTGTGCTTTTTCAAAAGCAAAACAATTTGGTTGCCACTCAGCAATTCCTGGTGAAATGCCAGGAAGCCTGTAAAAAAAGTTAAAATTTTCCTAACTTAGAGTTCACAAATCAAGTAAGTGTGAATGTTCATAGCCTATCAGACATTCTATTTTTGTTTTGTTTTTAAACTATTCATAAACAAGGCAAAACACATGCTTTTGACCTGTTAAAGTTCATTCAGATCAATATGTAGATCTGCCTTGCATGTTCTCAAAAAAAAAAAAAGATGGAGGTAACTTGGACTGCTCTTTTTAGTTTATCTCAAATTCTAAATGATTCTCACATTCAAATCTGTTACTATAGTCTTCTCCAAAGCCTAATAAAGACATGCAACTAAGCATGTTCTTTACTAGCAAAGTTTGCAGACAACCCTGCCAAAAGTTGATTCTCCTTGCAGCTCTGATACATAGGCACTTCCGTCCTAGAACTAAGAAGTAAGGGAATATGACTCAGTCTCATAGCCTCTTTACTCATTAAAAAAAAAATCAAATTCCCCAAATATTTTCAAACACCATCAGGAATAGAACATTCCCAGCTCTGCCTAAAGATTATTATCTCTTTAACATTTCATCTTTATATTCACTGGGTTCATACAAAGGGCATGCACAGAAAGAGGAAAATAACTGCTTCTTATAAGATACCAAATTTAGTAATTTTCTCAAATCTACTGGCACACATCTAGAAAGTCATATTTTTATAAGTCTTCAAGGTTGTCATTGGTTCTGTCTTTTGAGAAAACACATGCTGAATCATCCATAACTTCAAGCCAAAATACATCTGAAAACTATAAGAACTATTTGTTTTAGAAAGACAAGAATCACCACAATTAAAAATGTGATATAGTGGGTGGAGACAGATGTAGGCTCATCTGAATCCCACACTAGTATCCCCAAGCATCAACTTGCTAACTGATGAAGATCATCAATATATAATGCTCTAAGATTCTAGCTGATTCCAGTTGCCTTACCTGTTAATATGAGATTACTGTAAGTATTGGAGAATTGCTCCTTTAGAAGAACCAGATGCATCTGAGCTGCCTTCTCTCTTTGAAGCTCCAGCATAATATCAGGGTGCTGAGCAATTTTGCAGCCTTTCTGTTTATCCAAAGCAACATCACTTCGAACAATGTCTACAAAAAGAAAGAAAGAAGACTGGCAACAAAAGCAAAATCTAAAATAAAACAAAAAAAAAAAAAATATATATATATATATATATATATATATATATATATATATATATATATACATCAAAGGTTTATTTTACCCCAAATAACACAATTTGTAAGCTACAAGAGTTTTCATCAAACTAAAGAAATGCAGAAGTATTAACCCTGCAGGATTTTCAACTCCATGACACATACTCAAAGTTCCTCTGGTTATTTACAAATTCTTTGGAGATTTCTGTTTCTTAGCTCTCTCTGACCTCATTAAAGAGTCTACTCAGACATTCTCCTTCTTAGCTCACCTCCAAGACTTTTTTATCTCCAGGGCCCTTTTCTTAATATCATTTTCCCTTTTTTTTATGGAGAATAATAATACAACTTTGAATACTAGTGACTATGAAGGTCATTTCCTCTCAACAGAAGGCAAAAGGAATAGTGTATTTAGATTATACCTTTATAAAACTTTTTAATTAGATTGTCTCATCATATTCATCATCAAAATATTATGAAAGTGACAGACATTGCTGACCCAAACTGTAAACACAATCCCTTCTTCCTTGCCTTCTTCTAGTCTAGACACTGAAAAGTACAGTGTACAATTTCCTAGTTTTCCTTGAAATAAAGTGTGCCTATGCTACATAGTTCTGGCCAGTGAGTTACAGAAATACATCTTAAAGAGGAACCCCCCTTGCCAAATTAAGAGTCAGAGCCTCACTAAGAGAAAAGTCTCTTAGTTTTTTAGTTCTTCCTATTCTTTATACATGAAACATAGACATAAGGACCAGGGTTTTACTAGACATTTTGTGCCCATGATTCAAGAAGCTAGAACCCAAAAAACTACATGCTAAGGATGTTTTTATGGTTTATATGTGAGGTGTCCCCCAAAAGCTCATGTGTAAGACAATGCAAGAAAGTTTAGAGTTGAAATGATTGGGTTATGAGAGCCTTAACCCTATCAGTGAATTAATCCCCTAATAGGGATAGTGGAATCAATAAGCAGGTAGGGTGGTTAGAGGAGGTAGTCCTGGAGGCATGCCTTAGAGGTATATATGTTATCTTTGTTGGGCAGACCTTCTTTCTGTTTCCTGATCATATCCTGAGCCACTTTCCTCTACCACACTCTTCTGCCATGATGCCTCAACTCAAGACCCATGGAATGGAGCCATCTGTCTTTGAACTGAAATCTCTAAAACCATAAGTTTCAAAATAAACTTTCTCTCCTTAAAATTGTTTTCATCAGGTTCATTGGCCCCAGAAACTCAAAAAAAAAGCTGACTAAAACAGATGTTGAACAGGAAAATTAAAAGAGCCTACAGTTGAGGCTAGAGTTGTAGCTAAGTGGTAGAGCTCTTGTCTAGCACTTGTGAGACACTGGGTTCGACCCTCAACACCACATAAAAATAAATAAATAAAGTAAAAGCATTGTGTCCATATACAACTAAAAATATATACATTAAAAAGAGCCTAAATTCTCTAATCTCTATATTAAATAGACTGTCCATCTCTTGATTTCTTTTTATATGAGACAAACACTATTCACATAAGCCACTAATTGTCAGTTACCTGCTTTGTAAATCCTAACCTGTTTTTGTAATCCTGAACAATAAATAATAATAATAATATACCTATTTATATATGAGGAAACAGATCCATAAACCTTAAGTAACTTGTTCAAATCCACACAGCCTGGTCAATAACCAAATATGGGAATTTTAGAAGTCCAGTGCTCTTTTAGAAGTAACTCCTTTCTGAGGACCAATAGAGTAGAGGAAGGGGAACAAGAGGGAGGGAAGAGGAGAGGGCATGGAGAAGTACAGGGAATGAAATCTACCAAATTATGCTATATCTATGTATGAACATACCATACATATATATGATTATAATACACAAATTAAAATAACAACAATAGGAGATTGGTAGAGTAGAGCAAGCAGATGGGGGAGGATAGAGGAGAGGGAAAGGGAAGGCATTAAGGAATAAAATTGCATAACTATGTTATGTACATTTTTTAATATGAAATAATAAATCTCACTATTGTACATGATTATAATATAACAATAAAAATTGGAAAAAAATAAATTACTCCTTTTTAATAGTTCATGAGCTTAATATTGGAATCATATTAAAAAACAAAAGTGATGAACTAAAAAGAAAAGCTGAATTATATTATTATAAAAGTATATCAGACTATCTGGAAAGAAATGTATATGATGTTTCTTAGAAAAGGTACAAAAATTACACTAAATCATAAAGGGTGAAGAAGAATATCAATTATCCTTGTATCTTCTGATAGAAATCTAAACTCTATTTCCCATCTAATAAATGTATTGCTCAGAGCACATAGGAAGCAACAATTGTAACTGATCTCACCATCATTCCAACCAGAATCTTGAATAAAGTGCCAATATTATCATACCATTAATATTAAGAAAAGAAAATTACTAAAATGATCAAAGATATGTTCTAGATCTAAGAAAAGTACCTTTCAAAAACATTTGGAAAGAAAACAGATATACTGTATAAATTCTTTATTCAACCTTACCTGTTTGAAATTGTATCAAAGACTACATAAACACAAAGCAAGGATATTTATCAAAGATGTACATGGTCATATATCTGAAGGAAGAGTTAATATCATAGATGAAAGACTCAAAATTCAAAATTATCTTGGTAACCTTGAACCTTGGGATGAAATATTCAAAATGAAGGTGAAGATATGAATACAAACTGCTGCATTTATAGATTCAAGACGGTGGATTAGAGGAAGGCTGCATTTTCAGTTGTTCTGTGGCTTCAAATTCAAGCAACAGGACTACTGCTTCTCAGAAAAGTGGATGAAAGAGGAATTTCACTAAAATTCAATATTGGACAGAGTGCCTTAGAGACTCAGAAATTCAGGTGCACTGAGTGAACACTAAAGAAGAGTTTCTGGAGCTAAGTCATTGCAACAGCAGCTGAGACAGCAGCAGTGGTACTCATTCACCACAGAGGGAAGAGAGAACACAGAGAGAGAAATACAATGAACAGATTTGGTACAGAAAAATCTGTAGATCAGAAAAATAGCCAAAATTTAGCTGATCCAGGGGCTGTATAGCAAGCAGGTGTTTGAAAAGCCCTCTCTATTTCTCAAATGGCAAGCAAACAGATAAGAAAGTGTAGTGGCATCCCTTTCTCCCCAGAAAATCCTAATTAAGCTTCTCCAGAGACCCTCACCATAACTGTTGTTCTTAGACTATCAGCAAGAATTTCTGCAATAGAGTTTTCAGGTGGGAAGTGTATTGCTGAAGCAGGACATGATAAGAAAGACTAACCCAAGGCTTCCACAGAGGCATTTGCATTCTTGTTTCCTGGGTTCAATACCCTGAACAGTGGAAAAAAAGCTGCTTTGGAGTAAACAACTGTAGATTGTGAGACTCTGAGGCCTTCACCCTGTACACTGGATATAAATTCTGAAACTTTCTGAACTCGGAGTTCAGGGAGACTGATTGACTGTAGCAAAAGCCTTTTTCCCCTCTGGACCTGGCTGCAGCCAATAAACCTGCTTTCTGCTAATTCCTCAATGTCCAGCCTCATCTATCCCACAACAGCAGGAGCCATCTTGAGGAAGCCACACTCTAGACTACTACTGCAGAAAACCTGGGAGGTCATAGCAAACATTGCCATAGTCTCCCAGCAAGTGCATACCATGTGGCCTAGGGTATACCCAGGAAAACATGAGTGAAACAGGCACAGAGAACCCAGTCGGATTCAAGTAAGAGAAAAGAATAACTTGTTTTCTCTCTAAAGTTTGGCAGTTCATATGATCACTCAAAAAGGGTAGGAAAAATAAGGAGGTAAGTGTGAATCCACTGAGGGACAAAGTCTGGGGAGGCTGCATGCATCAACAGCAGAGCTTGTGAAAGATTGACTCACCTGCCCCTCAAGGAGAATTCTTGGGACATCCCTTAGATCCACACTCCCAGCAAAGATCAGAACATACCTGTCCCTAGAAATGTGTTGCTATAATCTCTCCAGAGCAAATACCACCCAACAAAGTCCCTAAAGCCAGATTAGATCTAAGCCCCAGGTTCCAGAACTCCCCTCACAGAATTCTGCAACAACCCTATGAAGGGAGTACATCTATCTCATCCATGCAGACGAAACTTCAATCCACAGTATTTCCCGTTCCATGCTACTTTATACTGGTAAGAGAGAACCTGATAATTATTTCAACCAGCTTCAGTTTGGGGGCTATTCCAGCTGGCAGCTTAGTGAGCAACACAAACAGAAGAAGAGGTTAACAACCACCAGCCCTTGTGTGTGTGTGTGTGTGTGTGTGTGTGTGTGTGTTCTCTCTCTCTCTCTCTCTCTCTCTCTCTCTCTCTCTCTCTCTCTCTCAGTAGCCCAAGAAATGGAAAACACAGTTGGGCACAGATAATGACCATCTATTCTCACTGACTGTTTTTGACCATCTCTGTGGAGACTATTTCTTAATTTTTCATTAATAATCATTTTTTTCCTTTTCTTTTCTTTTTGGTGTGTATGTATGTGTGTTCTTGCTGTGCTAACTGGTTTATAAATACATATAAACATATATGTTTCTTTTTTCATTTTTAGCTTTTCTTTTTTTACAAAAGTTATTATTTTCTTCCTTGTCTGGAGGGTTACAGGTTTGGGTTTGTATATTTTTGTTTGGCTTGACTTCTATTTCTCTTTTTCTCCTTTCTTCTACTGCTAAGAGCTCAAGTTAATAAAATTAGAGATGAAAACGAAAAAATCACCACAGACATCACACAAATCTAAAAGATCATTGAGGACTATTTTGAAAACTTGTAGTCTAACAAATTGGAAAACCTAGTAGAAACAGATACATATAAACACATATGACTGTTAAAATGGAATTAAGAGAACAGAAAACCTAGACAGATCAACAAGTAGCACTAACATAGAAGCAGTAATAATTCTTTTTCCAAAAAAGAAAAACCCAG